ATGCCACTTCCTGGATCAACATTTTACTCGGTAACATTATGCAGTTTTCATTTATATGCTGTCTATTGCTGATGATGGCATTATTTTTCATATGCATCTGTTTACATAAGAGATCTCTAGTTTCTCCGTTCTGTTCACGTGTGTTTTTGTTCGGGAGGTTTTGTACTCGTTCAGAAGATGCGTAATAGCGCCCCCGAGTGTATAACAGTGAAAACACGAAAAGCTGTAAAAACTCGTCTTTGGCGGGGAAGCGTTTTCTTGTAAAAGACGAGATAACTCGTCAATGGCGGGGAAAGAGCATTACATGCATTACATTCTTACTTTAGTCCATAAAAAGCAACTAATTGCATTGCTTTTATGTATTACATTACTTTAGCGTTACTTTTTGTCTCCTGGGCTGGCTAATTTCATTTAATTTAATTTAATTTAATTTAATTTAAAGTATTCAGTTAAAAACAGGGGTGTTATATCAAACTGTAACTAAAACCATAATTGTTTTACTTGAATTAAAATAAAATGTAAAAAACTAAAAATATAAAAAAAGAAAACTAAAACTGAAATAAAAATGAATAAAAAATGAATGAAAAGTCTTAATGAATAAAAAAAAATTAAATAAAAAACTAATACAAATGACAAAAATACAAAATGGCTAAAATTTTAATTTAAAATGAAAACAGAAAATAGAAAAATAAATAAAATAAAAATTCTAAATATGAATAAGTTATATTATGTTATAGTTATAATAAATATAATATAACTATAATCTCAATACTAAAATGACACTGGTTAAAAAAGTATGAACATGGTTCAAATATGGCTAGAACATGGCTAAATTGCTGCATCAGTATATCTCCTCGAGAAGTCTAAGATCTTGTGACCAGAACCTTCTTTTAATTCCGCATTCCAGACTCAAGCGTAGAGGTGACCGTGCCGTCTCAGTAATTGGGCCTCGTCTTTGGAATGACTTGCCGGTTGAGATCAGAACGGCCCCTAGCCTGACTATTTTTAAGTCTCTTTTAAAAACTCACTTGTTTTCACCGACCTATTAGGAATTATATTTTTGCCTATTGTATTTCCTATTTTGTGTTTTTCCTTTCTGGTTGCAGTTTTGTATTCCTAATTGTATGATGCTGTTTCTTACTGTAAAGCAGTCTTGTGGCTGTTTTAAATGTTCTATATAAATAAAGTAAACTTGAAACTAAATATGAAAAACAGTAATATGCGTTTGAAGCTATATCTATATATCTATATATATCTATCTATCTATATATATATATATAGATAGATATAGATAGATAGATAGATAGATAGATAGATATTGACGTTGATATTGATAGCAGCTTGGTGTATTCTAGGTAACAATGATGGAAAATCTTTTGCACTGAAAAAACTGTCTATTGAGTCTCATTTAAACCTCAACATGTGCATAATAAGATCATGCATTAAGAAAGTAAAGGGTCAGTTTTGATTTGAGGTTGCTGAAATAGTGAGCTAAATGAGAATTGAGTGAATCTGGAGCTGCACTGATCTCTGTCTGCTCGTACTCGCTCTCTGCCGTTTGCCGTCATTTAATGATAAAAGATGACCAGCGACAGCAGGCAGTGACAGCAGGGTGTGATTCAGAAACACGGTCATTGCTTATTCATCCCGAGCTGTCGCTCCATGTCTTGAGAGTGAGTATTCCTCACCTTCAGTCAGTCAGAGCGCTGATGGGAAGCAAACGTTCTGCATCAGGACAGAGATTTTCCACAGTAAAGACATTGTTTACCTTAATTCTGTCATTTATTTCACCTAACATCCTTCCAAAACTGCATGATTGTCACATCATTTAAGATATTCATACAACTCATGGGCTGTATTTCCAAGTAATAATTAAGTGTGCTATTAAGTTTAATACATACATGAAATCATTAAATATATGTATATAATATACATAATCTATGTATGTACATATATACATATATAAAATGTATATTAAACCCACACAATATAAGTTAATCTTTAATTATTTTAAATTGATTCAAAATATTTTTTAATTATATATATATATATATATAATTTCATATATTTTTTTACATTATATTTTAATGCATACAAAATTTAAATATAATACTTATTAATTTTTATATAAAAACCTACACTGTAGATTTGTATATATATCTTTAATCTATGTATTTTTTGTATTTAATCTATGTATCTTATGTAATATTTAATAACATTTTTATCTTGTATCAAATACTAGCCTACTCAAAAACTCTCCTGATGAGCTTCTGCTGGCAGTCATATGCAGTAAAAGCCCTCGACTCACTGGTGTTTCTCCTCTGGCTCGCAGGTTGAGCTCTTTCATTGAGCCGGGTGTGAACTGACTGTCTTGTTGGCTCAGGGTTTGGAGTACGTCTGGAGATGTGACCCGTTCGTCATCCCTGCTCCGACGTTTTTAATTATGTGTGCGTTTTTTTGTGGGAGGTGAGGCTTTACTGTCTGTAAATTAGGTTGAGGATGGATCCGAGATGTTCCTAATTCCCATGATTGCCTTTTTCTTCTATGCTCATGCACGAGTGGCAGAGCATGAATAGAGCTGAAGGAGTAAAGCTCATGAAGAAGAAACGTTCGGGTCATTACTCACCTCAGCATTCAATTGCATAAAGAAAATTAAGCCTATTTTTAGAACCATTAAAATTATTATAGGCTTTGTTTTGATGACAAAATACAATATTTCTGGTTTTCTTTTTGATTTTGGGGTAAAATACAAGCCAGACATTTCTCGTCGGCTTCAGGAGAGTCTCATGCATGTTTAAAGATCACTCATTCAGAGAGTTGAGCGTTTCTTTGTGGCTCATTCACGACGTCATGTCCCTGAGAGAAGAGGAAGTCTGCTCACAGCTCGGCTTGTTTTGATCGCTTTGGTGAAAGGGTGACACATTAGCGATCCTTAGTGTTTTTCTGTTCTTTGACCTTTTCTAAAAATAGCCCCTGCATAGGAAAAACATTTAAAGCGTCTAAGATACAGAGCTAGTGCTGACTTACTGCTTGATTAGTCATTTGACATTCTCCTGTCTTTTTGGCTATACGTATATAACAAAAAGTAGTTCCAGGATTTTACTATATATATATACTACATAGTAATATTTTATAATAAACTTTTACAAAATGTTATTATCCTAATGAATGTGAGTTTCAAATATCATCTGGTGAATATTATGTCACTTAATTAATATTCATGAGGTGTGATAATAAGGTGTATCATATGTTTGTGTGTGTATATTTGTTTGTTTAATGGGCCTGCACAGCTGGTGCAAATATAACCGGATATTGTGAATGTATAATATTATTAGTAAAATAAAATATTATATAATAATTTTCAATAATACATCACATTTACCTATGCTACCTATGTTATATTTTCAGCAAATCAGTTAGGACTACTGCGTGAATGTTCATTTAAATTAATATTCATGAGCCAGGCTAATAAGGTGTATCATATTTCCTTCCATATTTCCCCAGTTGAGTGTTAATATAGTAATCATAATAGATTAAATGCAGTATTTTGCACTACATTTTCATTATTAGATCATTGCATTGTTCTTTTACACAATGCATCATTACCTTTGCTTATATGCTTTATGTCATGTTGTCTGAAATGTCTTGTAACTACTCTAAATAGATTAACAGGTAGGTTACTTAAATATGCAAAATGATTGCTTTGTTCTGTTAATTCTTTTTTTTTTTTTTGAGTCAGTATATTGTGCGTCCTAGGGTTAGTGAATACACTGGAAAAGTAATAAACTAATAAATCCCAGCACATATTTTCCTCCAAGGGTTTGTTTTTTTCAAAGTTGTCATCTCGGTGAAGTGGCCAAATTGAAATCCCCATTTTCAAACCTCATTAAAAATTCATGAAGTTTTAAGAGTGTTTTATGCCAGGCCCCATATGGAGCTACACAGTGATTTTATGCCAGATCTGTTGGTCTGCGCCAGCTCATGCATCTCCTGCCAGCCGCCGCTGTTCGCTGACAGGTGAATTACGTGCGTGAGGATGGGAACACAGACGCTTAGTTCAAACATTGACATTGGCGCAGACGTTTTTAGTTCCTCTGCTGTCAGCCGAAGCTGTCTGGCCAGTATTTTGGTGTAAAGTGACTTTTTTAGTTGTGGCTATAAAACACTTGACCTCTCACAGTCGATGCTTATTTTCTCTTCCTCCATCAAGCTTCCCTGTGGATTTTTATTTGTATCTCCAGCTTCTTTCCAGAAAATAGATGCATTCAGCAGGTGTTTGATAGAGAGACTGTGGGGATGTTTCATCATTACAGTGACTGTGGATTCATTTCACTCTCTGAGTCGAAGGTCTGATTACTTCAGAGACAGCCTGAGCTGCTGATGATGAATGGAGAAATCAACACAAATTATAATTTGAAGTAATGTCTTCTTTATTTACACTGATGCCAGTCTGGTTTGCACTGGTCAAGGTGGTCTGGTTTGCTGGTTTTAGTAGGGTTTAGGGCATTTGTCAGCAAACCCAGATTTTTAGCCAGAGTTAAGATAATATTTTAATTTTAATTTGTAATTTGTAATTTTATTGTGTTTTGTTTTGTGTTGTGTTGTGTTGTGTTGTGTTGTGTGTTAGGTTTACAAAACCACACATCAGGGTTTTAAAAGGTCCCAAATACTGGTAAAAGGGTTGCAAAAACGGCAACCTTCATCTAAAATAAGTGCAAAAATAAAACAACTAAAATAATATTTCTAAACACCTCTTTTCACAATTTACAGAAAAAGAATATATTTTGTTTTGGTTGTGACAAAAAGTGTACAGTGTGCACTCGACACACACTACTGTGTGTTACTTTAAGTGTCTCTCTTCACACACCATGTGTTTGCTCAGAGTTGATTGATGAATCCGTTCGAACGCTGTCAGCTCAGATCAGTGTACAATGAACCAAACTGATATGGACAAACACTGCTGGGACTTGATGGTCACACTGTGTGTGTGTCCTCTACAGGTCTTAAGACGTATCTGATATCCGGTAGGAAGGTGAAGCACGCCCAGTGGAGCTGCCCTCCATCTGCTGTGGTGGCTCCTGAGCTCAGAAAGTCTCTGAGCACCTCGTCCTTCAGCCACAGCCCTGACATCACATCCTCCGCCTGCGCTCTGACCCCTGCCCCGGACAGAGCTAAGGTCAGTCCCACACTCACTTACACGCCCAACACCAAAATCCTTTATTCTACATAATTAAAAGTGACGTTTTAATGTGCAACCTTGTAATCACTTCACACTAACTGATTTAGTGCAGCAGTTCTCAACATTTTTTTTTTGGACTCTGAGGCCTACCACTGTCAGACAATGACTGTGAGGTCAAAGATATTTCTGGCACTTCTGCCATAATGACAAAGCTGCTCAGTTTCGATCAACTTCTTTATTTATAGAAACTTGGAGTGTCATTATATTCAAATAATTAAATTAGAATTTTTCATTTTATTTCTGTAAGTACAAATTAAATATTATATTATGACTTATTATTATTATTATTGATTAATTATTTTAATAATTACTATTAATAATTTAATATATTACAATAAATAAATAAACAATTAAAATAATATAATATATTATATATTACATTGTGTGTATGTGTACAGTCATTTTAAATGTGCTGTAATTATAAGTTATATATTATCAACATTACTTATTATTATTAATTCATTATTTTAATATTTACAATTAACAATTTAAAGTATACTATAATATAATATAATGAAACTGTATGATGTTTTATAATTATAAAAAGATTTAATTATTGTCCATGACTTATCCAGGTTTAGAAATATAAATATAACTTTTAATTCCCTCATATATCTAGGTTTTCTGAAACTGTGGACTTAAAATTACATTTTTAAAAATTAAATTAAAAGAAAATATCTTGATGTTTAGCTCTATTAACTTATTTTAATATTTGTCTTTATTTTAATTTAGTATAACATTTGTGTTCACTATATATATATTAGGGCTGTCAATCGATTACATTTTTTTATCTGATTAATCACATCCTTTTTCTGTGATTAATCACGATTAATCGCACACTTCATGAAATTAAGCATAGACCATTTATCTTGTTTCAAATGTTTATTTGCTATATCCAGCAAAGTAAACCAAAAGATTGAAGGGTGATTCTCAAAAATCTATATTTTCTGCCAGCTTTTTTCAAGATAAATTTAGATGACTTTCCAAAAAAGGACACTTAGAAACTCCAAAAGGACACCAAAGAACCAAATGATATAAGGAGCCCATATAAGCACATATGAAAGAAAAAACATCAGAATTTTATAGTATGTGTACAGTGCAACAGCAAAGAGCTTTTTTAGTTTTTTTGTTGAAATAACTATGTTTCTTAGTTTTTTCTAATGTTTCTTTGTTGTTAAATGAATGTTTATTGCATTATTTCAGTATCATGTGTGTTACCATGATGGTGTTTAGCGTTTGTGTGAATGACACTGTGCACCTTCTATATATGTTATTATTTAAAAGCTGCTTGTGATGGGCTTTGGTTCATCATGTGACTTTCTCATCACCACCTGCATTTGGTGGTTATCAGTGTATTACAAAGGTACAAAACAGATTTCAGTACTTCAATAGGTTGGTATATTAACATTATATCAGTTAATGAAATTACGGTATTTAACTGTAAATTTAAGTTAAACCGTAAAACCTAAAACGTTGCTACCATATTTTTTACGGTAAAATTCTGGCAACCACAGCTGCCGGTTTTTTACCATAAATTTTACGGAATTTTTTTTTACAGTATACAGTACACGGATCCATTCAGAATAACTAAACACAGCAACATACACATGACAAATCAAAACATTATCATGAATGTGTGTGGAAACAACGTGAATGTACGGAAATGTCTATGCCTGTGCATAAATACAATGTGCGATCAGTGCGTCAAGACCACTCATACACGCATTATTATAACGGACTCACACGTGCTTACTATACGACTCCTGTACGCCACCGCAATCGTCTTTACCTTGATTGCAGTCTTCATCCATCAAAACTTTACTAGCAAGACTGGTTATCCAGTCGAGAAAACGTAGTTTGCGTCGGCGTATCAGGTGTCGTATTGGGCTTTACTTTATGTTAATGCACAATCTGTCTCTGTGCATGCTGCTTTCTCTCAAGTGTTCTCTGAACAGCATTATTCCATTTACTGATGAAAGGACTGCGCTGGAAACACACCATGCTGATTCATTGTGTGAAACACTGCAGTGATTTGCGGAAGGCCGTGAGGGATCACAATGAGCACGTCAATAAGTGAGCGTGTCCAGACCAGATCTGTGAGATCATAATGTGCCGTGTGCAATGCATCCACCTCTACTTTTAAATTTGATCGATCAGTTAAATGCACAATGCATTCATCCAAGCAACCTTTCAGAGGACGCCACATTACCCGACAGCCTTTGCAAAAGATACTCTCGTCATTGTACTTTAATACTGATGGGACCTTGGGTTGCAAGCGATAGTGGAAAATAAGATAAGGGAGGGCAGGCGAACCGCTGCTCCTGTGCAAACAGCAGAGAGGGAAAACAAGAGTCTGTCTGTCTCCGTCTGTAGTAATTATTCATCTCCGAGGCTAAATGCTGTTGATTTTTAATCCCTTGCATATTCAAACGGCAAATGTTAAATGGCAGATGCAACACATTTTAGAGCTGCTTGCTAAAGCTGGCATCACTACTTCTGTTGTTCAAAATTGGAGCAAGAAGTTGAAAATCACTCCCAACTAACTTTGGCTGACGTTCTGGGAAGGTTCTCTGAACGTTCTGAACAAACATTCTACCAGTGATGTTAAAGGAATAGCTCACCCAGAAATAAAAAATGGCTGGAAATGTACTCACCCTCAGGCACTCCAAGATGTAGATGAGTTTGTTTCTTCATCAGAACAGATTTGGAGAAAGTAGCATTACATCACTTGCTCAGCAATGGATGCTCTGCAGTGAATGGGTGCCGTCAGAATGAGAGTCCAAACAGCTGATAAAAACATCACAATAATCCACAAGTAATCCAGTCCATCAGTTAACATCTTGAAGCAAATCCATCATTAAGGCTTTTTAACTTCAAACTGACGGCACCCATTCACTGCAGAGGATCCATTGATGAGCAAGTGATGAAATGCTAAATTTCTCCCAATCTGTTCCGATGAAGAAACAAACTCATCTACATCTTGGATGGTCTGAGGGTGAGCACATTTTCAGCCTTTTTTTATGGCTGAACTATTCCTTTAATAGAATGTTTGTGTAAAGTTATCTGGTCTCAAACAACATTCTCAAAACGTTAGCACAAAAACATTCTTTCTTTTTTTTTATGTGTGAAGAATGTTGGTAACCAAACAGTTGCTGGTCCCCATTGACTTCCATGGTATTTTTTTTTCCATACTATGGACGTCAATGGCTACCGTCAACTATTTGGTTACCATCATTCTTCAAAATATCTTCTATGTTCAGCAGAAGAAAGAAACTCAAACAGGTTTGGAACACCTTGAGGGTGAGTAAATGATGACAGAATTGTCATTTTGGGGTGAACTCTCCCTTTAAATGGAAAGCAAAACATTTTTAGACTCAAACACCTAGAAACTACCTAGCAATGCCATAGCAATCACATAGCAATGTGCTAAAACACTAAGCACACTAGAATTATGAACAAAGTGTTTCTCTCCTGTTGGATCACTGATCTTTCCATGTGGTGTATTGTTTCTAACTTCAGCTTTTTACTGAATGAAAACAGTAAGTGAAGTGTTTGACTCTGTTCTCTCTGCTGCACATAATTTCATTTTGTGTTTTCCTGTTTCTCTTCCGTCAGTCTGCCTGTCCCTCTTGTGGCGCGTTAGCTTCTGAGGACGGGGCGGTTCACAGCAACAGCTGCTCAGATCCTGATCACAAAACCATCAACAGCAAGTTGTGTGTCTTACACCTGATCTCAGTGAGTAGAATGAGAAAATCCAGAATGTTCCAGTATTTTATGCCTATCTAAACTGCTTTGTTTGGTGCAAGGGAGTTTCAATAAATAATGTAACAGCTCTTTTTCCATATGAAAGGTATTATTTACTTTTTTTTTATTTTATTAAATTAAAATTTCCTGCTATTTACACTGAACAAAATTATAAACGCAACACTTTTGTTTTTGCCCCCATTTTTCATGAGCTGAACTCAAAGATCTAAGACTTTTTCTATGTACACAAAAGGCCTATTTCTCTGCCTAAATGTGTCTAAATCTGTGTTAGTGAGCACTTCTCCTTTGCCGAGACAATCCATCCACCTCACAGGTGTGGCATATCAAGATGCTGATTAGACAGCATGATTATTGCACAGGTGTGCCTTAGGCTGGCCACAATAAAAGGCCACTCTAAAATGTGCAGTTTTACTGTATTGGGGGTCCGGGGGGGTCCAAAAACCAGTCAGTATCTGGTGTGACCACCATTTGCCTCACGCAGTGCAACACATCTCCTTCGCATAGAGTTGATCAGATTGTTGATTGTGGCCTGTGGAATGTTGCTGGATATTGGCAGGAACTGGAACACGCTGTCGTATACGCCGATCCAGAGCATCCCAAACATGCTCAATGGGTGACATGTCCGGTGAGTATGCTGGCCATGCAAGAACTGGGATGTTTTCAGCTTCCAGGACATTATACATTGTGTACAGATCCTTGCAACATGGGGGTATTATCATGCTGCAACATGAGGTGATGGTCGTGGATGAATGGCACAACAATAAAATGTCTTTAATGTGCCTTTTGATCAATTTAATTAATCTTTTTCATCTTCAAAAAGGTCTTACTGATCCCAAACTTCTGAACAGTAGTGTACATCATAATTTAATATAGTGCCTTTTTCATATGATAATGAATTACCATTGAGAAAAAAACCCCCAATCAATAAGATTAAACATCCAGACTCATTATAGTAATGAGAATGTGGGGAGAAATGTACTTAATTGCCATTAAAATAATATCACAATAAAAAAATATTTTTTGGTTGAAGTGTGACATGGTGACATATTTTTGTGTGATTAATCTATAAAGGGCACAGTAACATTACCATTTTGTGCATATTATTGGTTTCATCAGCACCTATATGTGCATAAATGTTCTTACTAGAGAGGTCTTATTTATTGTCTTATTTGAGAGTGTCTTATATAATGAAATGCCCTTTTATTAACAAAATTGTGCTGCAGTTCTCTCATTGTTTGTATCTTCCATCTGAATCTTCTTCAGGGGCCGCCTGGCAGGAGTCCCAAGACTCTTAATGGCCTGTTAAGCCCTCATCTGGAGCAGCCGCTGACCCACAGCCAGACCTCTCTGTGTGAGATGCTGCAGGAGAAGGAGAAGAAGTGGCCCGGAGGAAGAGGAGGAGGAGGAGGCATCAGCAGCATGGGAACCATGGACCACTCCGCCCTCATCCCACTGCGCTCCAAAAACTTCCGCGAGAGGAGCGACGCTCACTTCGTAGACGTGATAAAGGAGGACAGGTAGGAAACGACAGCAGTGAGGATGGGGCCCGCTAGGACAAAAATGTCAGACAAGATGGAACGTTATTGTTTAACGGCCGCCAGCGGAGGTCATGCTGTTCCCAGAGGGACACTTGATGCACTTTGATGTAGTGTGCTGTGATGTACTACGTGTGTCCTGCGGTCCTGGATGGTCCATTTTTCTTGTGTTCCTCCATAAAAGATATCATTGTACTAAATAGTTGTGTGTATAGGATTTTAGTACAAAATCTTGATTAGTAACCATTCATAGTCCAGTTTAACTAGGTTCAAATTAACCCCACGATTCACAAAAGGACACAATATGAAAAAATGTCAAATTGTAAAACTGTAAAACAAAAAAAAAAAACATTACCTAAAAATAAAAATAAACATGAGAACATTTTATTTTAAGGAGTAGTTCACCCAAAAATGAGAAATTGCGGAAAATGTACTGAACCTCAGGCCATTCAAAATCTAGATGAGTTTGTTTCTTCATCAGAACAGATTTGGAGAAATGTAACATTACGTCACTTGCTCACCAATGGATCCTCTGCAGTGAATGGGTGCCGTCAGAATGAGAGTCCAAACAGCTGATAAAAACATCACAATAATCCACACCACTCCAGTCCATCAGTTAATGTCTTGTGAAGTCCATCAAGGCATTTTATAAAACGGTTAGTTCCATTCCTCGATTCTGATTGGTCAGCAGCTGTGTTTTATTCACGATACAGCACGGCTATGACCGCTTCACCCAACGGTTCTGTGTATCACTGAGCAACACCCTTAGCAACCACCCTTAGCAGCATAAACAATCAATAATATAGCATCAAAACTGTTTAATGTTTTATGTATTTCGGCAGAATTAACTGTTTGTTATTTATTTAATGAAGAATGAGTGACCCCAGCTGGCGTTATGTTGCATCTTTCATCTTTCATTTCGAGACCCCGCCCTTCCCCCGTCTAATAAACGCTTCTCATGCGGAGATATGTTGATGTGTGTGCGCGTCTGTGTGGAAGCCTACAGTTTCCGAAGTGAGGAGGGGATATTACAGTATTTATTAGTTTTCTGTTTCAGTTATGATTCTGTATTTCCATCAGTTTACACTGTAATGACGCTTGCAAACTCGCACTGTGCCGCGAATCGGTCTGTTTTAAAACTAAAAGATGGAAAACAGACGTTTTCTCATGCTGAGAGATAAGCAGATGTGTGTGAGAAAATATCATATATGGTGTTAAAAAAATGACACAGCGGATAAGAGCTCCTATTCTCTGTTTTTATTTAATCTCCATTATATGAGGCATGTTCGGAACATTCTCTTGCTGTTTACTGTTGCTGTCAGGAACTACTTTTTAGCGGAAGGACAGCATTTAACAAACTTGCTTCAGAAAAGTAACATTTCAATACATACATGTTTGGTTTTAATATTTTTTATTGTGTGGTAACCGTTTTCCACACAATAACCGTTTTCCGCTTCGCGTCGTGCCTAACAATGCCCTTCAGCCGTGATTTATTCACGATACAGCACGGCCTCTCGTACCTTATTGCTTACTTAACTTTAAACGTTTTAACTTTAAAGTGTCGCTTCTGTTCCAAAATACGAGTCCATAATCTGTAGTAATGCTTCCTGCAGTGGAAAAGTCCATCTCCTGTTGTCCTCTCATATTACAATTCGCCAACATATCTGTTTAGAACTGTTTTGGACTGTTTTCACATTCGATCTGTGCATATTTCTCTCCTGATTCTGACAAGACAACTTTTTCACTGGAAAAAGCAGTATTATGAATAGAGGACCTATATTTTAGCTGGAAGCGACTGTTTGAAGTTAAAAATGTCTGAATGATGGATTTGTTTCTTACAAACAAGCAACTTTCCACTTCACAAGACATTAACTGATGGACTGGAGTGGTGTGGATTACTTGTGGATTATTGTGATGTTTTTATCAGCTGTTTGGACTCTCATTCTGACGGCACCCATTCACTGCAGAGGATCCATTGGTGAGCAAGTGATGTAATGATACATTTCTCCCAATCTGTTCTGATGAAGAAACAA